GAATTACCCCAGGGGTCTATATTATCAAAAACACAAGATTTCAAGTTCGAATAAAAGAATAACATAGATTTAGTTATCCATATCTATGGTTCATACTCAGAAATATTAGATATTCATATTTACTTGAGTTATAGTTAAGTACGATCAAAATAAATCTACTTCTAAAAACATCAGAATGTTTATTTATATTCAAACTCGAACTACACAACTCGTCTTAGAAAAATAATGAAACAGATATACTTTACTAATGTATTCATTCGATTCTGTACATAATATCAACTTGTTTAATATACTTTTTCAAATTTAAATTTCCTTGGGAGAAAATAAATTCTTTTCTCTTTTGTTTAATGATTATTCCAAAACTAAGGAAAAGTCATTTAGTAAAATTGTTATCAAACAATTCTCTGACAAATCCATGTAAATAAAAAGTTTATCATTCAATCATTGTTAATCATCATATGCAAAATATAAATTCCATACTTTTAGCATTACCGACAAATTCTAATAAACGATAAAAAAATAAGTGATCAACTCAAATATTTGTAATTAGAAACAAGTAACGCTCATCCTTTGGATTCGCTGACCCTTTTCTGAAAGACTTTTCCGAATGCTGAACACATTCACAGACTTTGAAAGAGAAAAAACACGCTGCGATTGCTACTAGTGCTCAACTGAATCATGGCACTATGGCACACACTAGAATGAGTAGGATGCAAGAGTCTTTTTAGGAATCCGACCGATTAACCATCTGTCAGTGGATAATTCTCCAGCACTAACTATGTTGACTGAAAAATTCATCGCTCAACGGCTAGTCAGACGGTCAACCATTGACCTTTGTCATCTATTTTTCTATTTTCACATCACGCGCATGGAAATTTTCATAAATGCTTTACTAAATCATCCATATACGGACGATATACAGTAGACTACTTGTAAAGTTTGAACATTCGCCTGTGTCTTCCGGCGACAAACCGATTCTTTTCTCTCCTGTCAACAAAATGATACTTTGTCGAATATTTTCATTGAACAATACCCATTCGTCAAATCTCCTTCAGAACTATCGGAAGCCTGGCAAGGTTATTCTAAGCGTACACTTTAGGATTAATCTAGCATTTAAACGCCTAGTCATTCGACTACCAAAAGAAACTAGATAAGAAAGTCTTATTCTATAATTTGCTTCGAAACGAACATCTTTCATAGTGCTGTATGTGTTCAGAATACTGTTTGTATAATCTACGCGTCTGTAGTTACTAAGATTGAATTCCACCGACGGGGTATATCGCTTTGCGGACTGCTTCTACTAAATTCCCATAAAAGGACATGATGTATGTAGCCTAAAAAGCAAAGATGATACTAACGTAAGCTCATATCACTTTTTCGAATTTTTCAATTAAAAACATCATTATGTACAATGAATTAGATCTTTTCGTGTAAGTTCTTGAGCTACTATCTTTGTAAGCATGACGTCCGCAAATAGCGTTCAAACAACTACCTTCTACAGCAGAATTTGTAAAACACATAGAAAAATATCTCTTTTGAAACAAGAAGGGAAGAAGTCTAAGCTTGGTGAATAAGAAAACACTAAGCTCAGATTTGAATTCTGTGGCATCGATTACCCGACCAGTAATCATTTTCTAACAACCATCGAAGAATTTCATTGATTTTAGAAATGCTGATTTCTGATTGGATAGGACAGACGGACAAACAGACAAACGTTAAGCTTTTAGCACAGCATTTGAACGCTATATAACCCTTTCTTTTAGAAAAGGGAATAAACGGTTGTTGAACTTTTTGTGTATTCCTTTTCTGTCTCATCATCATTATTTTTCGTACCGTATAAAATATATGAACGATTAGATTAGACATTTGAAGAGATAAGAGAAAGGAGATAGCAGTAAGAAGAATAGAAAATACGAAAAGACAACATGTTTCGACGATGACATGGACTACTTGCACTAGCTAGGCTTCGACAAAAATAAGTTTATTATCACAAGATTTCTGTGAATGATATCAATTGAATAGTGATCATTTAATATAAAAAGAATTGTTTTTTGACCAGACTATAAGCGATTAAGATGGGGTGCCCACTACTTTTGGCATGACCTAAGTAATTCACCGTGGAGCTAGGTTTTGATAATTTTGTAAACATTGTTTGTATTCAAACGAGTGTGTACATGAAACATAATGAAAAGGGAAGGAAAATAATGCATCAGGCATAGTATTCCTTAATCGTTCTGTCATATGAGTCACTCATACTACCAAAGTAGTTATTGTCTTTTCATCATTGGTGTTTGATAAGAGAATATAAATATGTGATAAAATTTCGAGAGTGTAGAAAAGAAGAAAAGCCCGCAAGCATCATCATCGTGATGTGGAGTAGAAGATTTGTTCGATTAAAAAATGAATTTATTGAAATTATTTTAACAATACAACGAATCATAATGAATCCATTAATGATGACTTTACATTATCTTTGGATTGTAATTACATTTCAAGAAAAAAATTCGATTAAAAATGCTAAAAAATTAGCTGAAGAAGATAAAAACAATAGTGAACATCGAATGCCTAATGAATTTATTCAAGGGACAGCTGTTATTGTATGTATATAATTAATTTGATAATTTTTATCAAAATAATTTTGTTTTTCTTCTAGGCAGAAACAGCTTCACCATCATTAATTCTTCGTTCAGCATTAAAATTACAATTTTGGATGTTTTATTGGAATTTAGAACGTGAACGTGTTCGTTTATCTCGAACACTTCCAGCAAATTTAACATCACCTGGTCAGTTAATACCGGAAACAGCAAAATTAATACCGGTTTTAACTGAAAAAATTAATTTATTAAACGAAATTTTAGATGAAAACATTCCAATTATTTCTCTACGTTCATTAATGAAAAAAGGACGTTATTTAGTAGTAAATTTTGGTAGTTGTACATGACCACCGTTTCTTGCAAGTTTAAAATCGTTTATTGAACTTGCACAATATCATCAAAAACTTCAATTACCTATTGATTTTATTATTATTTATATACGTGAAGCACATGCTTCAGATGGATGGAAATTTGATGGACCAAATTATAGTTTTCTTGCTAATCACCGTGATATTCAAGAACGAATTAATGCTATTAATATACTTGTTCAATTATCTGGCATAAATTATCAAACAAATCAAATATCAATTTATTCCGATACAATGAATGATCATACAAATCATTTATTTCGTGGTTGGCCTGAAAAACTTTATATTTTATATGATAATAAAATTCTTTATCAAGGTCAGAATGGTCCAGAAGGTTATTCTATACCATCAGTTGAGTATTTTTTGAAAAATAAGATTTTTTCTTAAAAATTATATTTTTATTTTATTTCTCAGTGAAATATTGTATTGAAATTGGATACAAAACCAAAGATACAATATGGATTTTTTGTCTTTTAAAATAAAAATAAATTTTTTAGAATCGTCCTTCCTTCTATTTATTAATCTTTGGGTACCCCAACTTTTCGTCCGGTTTTATTTCGTCTTTTTACAGTTCATCTTAATAATATTTCGTGTCAATTTTATATCGTCCCCTTACACTCCGTCTCGATTTTAATTTGTTCTTTTGTATAAGAATACGACGAAAATTTATTTTAAAAAATTCAATTTTTGAGTTTCAAGTCCACTGCGATTTGGTATAAATATTCTTCGATATAATCGACGTTGTAAGACATGACAATTCTTTTCAATCGAGCATCGAGGTCTGCATAAACTTTCTTCTTTTTCCTTGGCTGTTCACCTGTACGAAGTCGTTCAATGTCAATCTCGAATCGGGATTGTTCACGTATAATACATTTGGCAAGATTGGTGACTGAAGGATGTTTGATCGATACTCGACTGTTAAAGGCATTTTGCCATCCCTCAATCGCGTTATTTGACCTTGGTAAGTCTTGTGTGACTCTCTCGTAAGTATTCCATAGATGTAAACTGAATTTCGGTTTACTACGTTGATTACCTGAATAAACGTTACATAATATGACACACATCGAATAAATACAATTAAACGGCCACAAACCTCTTCCCCTTTTTTTGTCCTATCCATGCCCTTTCGAAATAATCGAGTAAGGCATAATCTTTTTCATCAAAATCATCAGCAATTGCTGAATAACCTTTAGTGACATCCGACACAGGTAAAAACGCAAGAGCCATTAGTTTCTTCGGATTCATTCTAAATTTATCATAGGTAGTGTACTTGTTTTGAAGACGTGGTAATTGGGTTTGCCGCCGTAAACATTGTCCAAAATGAAATAGGCAACCTATTTGTATAATAAAAGTAAATTTCAATAGACCAGCAATTCGTATAAGAACTTGCCTATTTGAACAGCTTGTGGGAATATTGATTTAGTCGATTTCAGTGTAGCAGTTTCATAATCAACTAGAATAGATTCAAGTTCATAGTCGTAATGCATCAATAATTGTTCGAAAAATTGATCATAATCATAGCTATTTTTCCCAATCAGTAAAACATACGAAAGGAATAATTTGAAGTGAATACATTCCATGTACGGTAAATAATTGATAAAAACTTTTTGAGCAAATCTGAATGGGTTAATATTATTTATAAAAAGATTGAAGAGACATACATACGCTAAATGTTCCGTCCATAAACCAATGTGGACATTCCCTTAAAACGGATAGATTTTTATCACATGTAAATATAACTATTTAATCGTCATCTTCGTGCAAGACAAAGTTTTCACCACGATCAGTTTGTCGGAATACAAGAGGTAAATGACCATTTTCATCGAGTTGCGTTGCTTGCCGTTCGCGACGAATTTTTTGCATCAATGCCTCGTTTGTCGGCAAACTGGCAACTACGTTTAACAGAATTGCTCTTAATGCATCAAATAATATTGTACTGATTGTTTCATCCCATGATGCACTACGACCTTTTATTTCATTTTTAAGCCGCATGGCGTGAACTGGATCTGGATAAGGTGCATGTGTATGTTCAGATGTTTTTTTTTCATAAATGCATCCATTTGAATATTCGTACGACAACGACCAAAAAACAAATATACGAGATTTAAAAATTATGCCTGATAGCTAATTCTTACTACTACAGTTGCGATCTTCACACCGAAAGATACGTTTTTTTCTGTTAATTCGTAGTCAGTGTAAAAAATCCATCAAAATAGATTTTTGGATTTCCACGAGAGCTCTGTAAGACTTCAATTGTATTCACTTTTCGGTTATGGTGTAAATTCGTCGCGATGACAAGAATTAATAGCGCAAGTGAACAAATGAGAAAGATATAATATTGATGCTATAGAGAAAGGACAGAGAATAAATATTCTTTCTCTATTGGTCTTTTTAAAAATCGATAATTCACCATATACAGCTAGGGATATTTGTATTGTACGTGCACAAATTGACTTTAGTGAAGTTATGAAATGAAATATAAAAAGCAAAACAAAATTGAGACAAAATGTAAGGAGGCGATATAAAATTCAGACAAATTGCAATTAAGACGAACTGTAAAAAGGCGAAATAACACCACACGAAAAGTAAGAAGGACAAATCAGAGATGGACACGGTTCGGCTTTAGCTCAATTGACACAGTATAATTAGTATATAGGAATGGATACTTAAGACAAAAATAAATAGATGTCGTATATAGCAAAGAAAAATAAATATTTCTTGTTTTTCTTCGCCCAAGAAGAAGCTGAAATTAACTATCCAATGATATAATACATATGGAAAAATACTATAGACGTGCCTTCATGATAATCAAACAAAAAACAAACTCAAATACGAATATCTCTTCTTCATAAAATACACCTGTGTTATTGATCTTGATCCTCCATCAAGTCCTAAAAATGTTCAATTAACGAATTCATTTGCCAGTTCATCATCTCCATCTTCTTCGAATTCTTTAACAGATGTACGTCGTTCTTATCGACATTTATCTGCAGATTCAATTAGTTCTGGCCTGAAATATAATAGTAAAGATTGGTTCATTGTCGATATTAAATGCAAGAAATCTAATTGCTGGTAATGCTTTGGTATTCCGGCTCCGAAAATTAATGAAAAAGAGAACGAAATTTATGAAAAATTTGTATCACGCACATATTGTAGCACAACATATGCGTATTCATCTAGTACCGTTAATATGAATAGGTATATGCGATTATGTGATGGTTTTAATCCTAATCAAACAAGCATTTTAACATCATCAACAACAGCAAATCCATCACAATTGATTACAAGTAACGCTCGCCGAGGCTGACTCGCTAAGCCCTCGACTGATTCACTTTTAATTCGACTCTTGTCATAAGACCCTTTCAAAAGATGTATCAATGTCTGATTCATGTATCCTAGACACATACATAATTTCTCAGCCTTACATCGCGTGATACCTGATTGGTCAGTTTTGTAATCTACGATGGCTACCAATTAGTCTCAGCTATCTCCATACGTTATTATTCGTGAAGTTTCGGTTAATATTAATCTTGAATCATGATGCAAGCACATACGATTCTCCCTCCGTACGAAAGAACATCTAATTAGTCCTCCTACCACTCCTCAATACACTATTGATATAGTCAAATTACAGATTTAGTAAGTTTCGAGCTAAGGCAGTACGGCATATCTCTCGGATATACAAGCGTTGTTCGGTCAATGGTTGAACACATTTCAGACGATTTTTAAAAAAAATTAAAGCATTTCGGAAAAGGCGGGAATGCTTTTCACCTTTGACGTCGCCGGCATAGTTTTTCTCATCCCGCCCTTTACTCCACCATCAACATCCAGCCCCAAGACTCCTCGCAAACGATCCTTTATTGAGGTTTGAGCGTATTCGCAAAAATGTTTTTTTGACCTTTCACCCTGACACAAACCCACAAACTATTTCTGTTCACATGACCCTCCTTTCAGTCGAGGGAATAAGCAATAATTATCATTTATTTCTTGTAGTTATTTAATAATCTCTTTTACTGATATACCAAATTGAAAAATAACGTAGGATACCTTCGGGCAGGTTTCGACATTTACTTAAGCGGATTCGTTTCAGCGTATGCTCCAATCAAACCAACACTGGTTCCGAGTACAACTTGATGAGCTCTACCGGTTTCGAAAATGCAATTTTCAAAAACGTTCTTTCTTCACCCTCAGAACCTCAAAAAGTCTGAAAAAAACACCCAAGAATATCAAAAACTAGATAAAAACCAAGGTGAATTCGTTTTACAACCACCGATCGCGCTTTAACGCTGGTTCTAGATTAAACTCGACGAGCTCTGTCGGTTTCAATCATAAAAAATTTTCATCCCACATCTACCCTAATGTTAATTAATATTTGAGTGACTATTGATAGTGAATCATCACTTTTAAAATAATAAAGAAATATCAGTGTAACGAAAAATAAAGATGTAGAAATATGAACATGATACTATCATAGACATCCAGCTGTATCTAATATGTATAGTGGTGAAGTAAATTGAGCTAGTTCATTCTTTATAATTCGTTACTGACAAATGGAGAGACATAGCTTTGTGTGTCTTCCAACACGATATTTATCTGACTACGATTCACCTCCAAATGTAGCCATTATACATACAACACGAGCTTATATATTAGAAAGAGAGCAATACAATTAGATAATCGAATAACGGAAAAGAGATGCAAGGACAGTATTCAATGATATTAAACATTAGGCTATATAACTGTAAAGATCAGTTAATCTCTAATTTGAAGATGCAGTGCTTTAGTTTATTTTGAAAAAAATCAAAACGTAGATAATATAATGAAATATATTTTGATAACAACAAACAGCAGTGTTTGTGGTTGTTGTTGTTGTTGTTGTTGTTGTTGTTGATGATGTTAATGATGATGTTAAAGTGTTCGTGGCTGTGGCTGTAGTTGTGGTTACAATTGTTTTTTGACAAATGACTGGATCCAAATCTTTGTATGTCGCTGATGGATCAAGCGGTTCTGATTTCCATTGACCTCCCACTGCAAACGCAGCTGAACGTGGGATAGTATCAACAAATGTCTGCCATTCTTTCGAGGATTCTGGTGTCCATTTAATATCAAGTAACCATTGCTTTATTTGTGCATAATTATATGGTAATCTAAATTGGTTAGATTTCTAGGAGAAGTATCTACTAAAATGGAGAAAACTTACGAATAATTGATCTTTCTAAGTATTGATTCGTATGAATTTATTCGATAACAAGAAGATAAATCTTCGTCGAGTCGAGGATAGTAAGTAAAAAAATGTAAACACATTTCTTCTGATGTTCGTTCTCCACCCTTTAATAAAATAAAATTTTGGAACTTAGGAAAACTCGAATAAGCAATCGTACCAATGTCACTTTATCTTTATTCATTGTATTATAAATACATCTTGTTGCAAACTCGTCTCCCTTTAAAATAGAAAGAAAATTTTCAAATTCGAAAATTCCAAATAACCAATCTTACTGGAAATATCTTAATTCGTTTTGCTAAACGATTTTCAAATTGATAATTAAAATTATAAGAATCAGCATTGAATAAATAACTAACAGCTGTGTTATTACGAATCAATTTCGTCCACATACTATAGCCTGTTCAGAATTTATTTGAATTTTTTCAAAGAAAAAAAAAACAAATTGATTTACCTTGTAAATGAGTATGTGGAAATGCAGATACGACTGTTATCCCAGATTCAGGTATATTCTATTATGTAGATCAATAAAATCTTCATTGATTCAAATGGTAAAAAGCATACTTTTGTAGCTGCACGTGGGCAATAAGCATCTATGATGAATTGATCAAGTTTTGGTGGAATAATAATTCCGAAAAAATTTGAAACAGTTCCAAATGTAAGATATCCAAGATCATGTTGTCGAAGTTTTTCGCCAAGATAAAATCGAATTCCTGAATTATCTCTACGATCTAAACTTGAAACGAACTTTAAGTTTTATTGTAGATATTTCTATTAACTTTGAGTTCCTTTTGGATTATCATAATGCATTTGAACCATAAAATATTTGTTCGGAGAATGAATACCAACTGGATAACCAGCTTCTTCAGGAAATTCAACAATCTAAATTGAAATCTACATTCATTTTCTTTTATTTATGGAATTCTTACATAATCACCGCCAACTGCCCAGCCAGTTGCAACACGTGATGCACAAGGTTCGATTAGATCATTAATATCGTCACATACTCCATCCGGAAGATTGTTATCATCGAATCTAAACGATGGATCACATTCGTGTATTAGTAAATGATGAACGATATCAACATTTTCATCATCAACTAAAACTTTATACTAATTTAATAGAAAAAAAAACATTTTTCTTAATTATTCAAATATCTATTCTTTTTTACATACTGCGATCGCATGTCGTTTATCTGAGTATGTCGCTGGAGTTTTATATATTTTACAATGATATGTTGTATCATCAGATGGAATGGTATACTAGAATAAATGAAATTTAGTCAGATGAAATCAAATTCATTGAACAAACATTAGTTAAACGAAGATCGAAATAATCAAGACCATTAAATTTTTGTTCCGATGGTGGTTGACCATAAGATCGAAGTGGAATTATTCGCGTGCCACGACGCGCTTGGTGATAGCTTATTTCCGAATTAACTGGATCACTGACACCATATGCATAGATTAAGATATTCGTTCCACTCTATTTAAATTCAAGTTTTTATAAATATAAAAGAATATGTTTGTTATAAAATACTTTTATTGGATAATCCATGGAATCGCATGTATCGAGTAAACGTTTAAATTGAATCGCTGTCCATCCGTTAGATTCTTTGCCTTTAATTGGTATCCAATCATTTGTTGTGTTATCAATCACTGGTCGAACAAAATCAAATGAATATCGATCCTTTAAAATGAAAAATGAAATCAATGAAAGAGAAAATTTTTCATAAAATACTTGAAAATAAAGTTTTCCCTGATTATCAATCCATCCAACACCTATATCTGCATCTTTCATCCCTCCCGCTAATAAACAAAAAGCTTAATTTAAATTTTTCAAAAATTCATTCTTTTACCTGAACTAATTCCGAGAGCAATCCAACCAGTTGTGTTAACATGAAATTCAAATGTTATTTCTCGTTCATCTTTATCAATACTCCACCAAAGATCAGCAACATTACTTATCAGTTCTGTTGAATATGTATAAGTTGCGAATGGTTGAATCGGACTCGAAATTGATAAACATTTTTCAACGATCAAAAAAGATAAGATGATTCTTCGCCACATCGACTCAAACTTATATAGAATAAAAGTATTGTGACCTGTTTTTATATTAAAGAATGAGTAATCGTTTCTTTTTCAATCAATATTTGAATAACATCATAGCAAATTTACAAAAGCTTATTATTCATATCATGGTGCGAAATCGAGTCCTCTCCTTTAAGATTAACCAATAAAGCCAACTCATATAATCTTTCAAAATAAATCTTTATTTTGGACGTGAAAAGTAAAATTATATTAAACATAAGAAAGTAAAGCACATTTGTGCAGTGAAAGAGAGAAAGAGAGAAATAAGGTATACAGTTTATCTAGCAATTTTTGTGATAACATCGTGAGGAGATTTCCATATATAAAATTTTCGAATTTCATCGATAAATAATCAAAGCACACCAAAACCCAATCATCGGCATCACGCACTCGACAGGTACCAGAGTTGTATTGAATATTTAATTCAACCAATGAACTCGTGTGAAAATTGATCGAACGCCTATTGAGAAGCATTAGAGATCAAGAGGGTTGTTTCGTGTGGTTCGGGGCCTTTTACTTTATTTCAAAATCAAAAAGCTACGCGCGTGGAAAAACACTCATCTCGTCGCGCTCTCTCTCCCCACACTTTCACACGTACATATTTATATGCCAGGTGCACAAAGAAAAAGTGAATAGATATCACTAATAAAAAAGATTTACGGAGAGAAGGAACAACAATTGATCTAGATAGAAAGAAGAGAGAAAGTATATGTATATATTATAGGACAGGTGCAGCCCATAACAAAAAGATTATAGCAAAGGGCCCTACGAAAAATGATCGAATAATAATTTTCTCGTCTATTAAGCAAGTACTGATTGACGGCACTTTTTAAGTTCGTAGACGTTTTATACTATTAGTGTCAGATCAATAAATATTATAGGTCAATTCGTCAATTTTCTACTAATTGTGTGCAATGCAGCTATTTTTGCTTTATTACCGAACAAAATCAAATCTACTTACGGCCATCTTATTGATAAGCTGCGCGAATTATGCCCATCGTGGAATCCAAAATATTTAACGATCGATTTCGAGAAGGCTTCTATGAACGTCATTGTTGATAAGTTTATAATAACCACGAATGCTTCTATGATGTCTGATCTTTTTCCACTTTCAGAAGAGTACACAGCGTAAATATCACGTGAGTAAATAACTAGAAATATTTATGGGAAATGTTGAGGATTCTTCTTTGTTGTGGGAGTTGGAATTTGCAACAAATTACGGCCAAGATCCGAAATTGGCTCACTGCGTGAACAAATAAGCTGCTCTTGCTTTCATTCATGCCAGAGATGTCGGTGAAGCTTTTGAAAGTCTTTATAATTCTCTACCGATTTCCATGGGACGATTACGTGCACCCACGTCCTAATGAGAACGAATAAATCACGTTCGTCGAGACTGGCTTGCACTATTCTCGACTGAAAACATTATTATATAATGAATTTACTATTGGCCTTTCTTTAGTTCACGTAACAGAAAATATTTTCCAATATAAACTTCACTTACTTATTTTTCCATTGGAATAAAGATACAGTGATGATATAATGAAAAACGTACTGGAAGCGGCCAGTTGTTCCTGTTGAGTCATCACCACATCTTGCCCTTAAATATTGGACTCATGCAAATTGCACCTCTAGATTGCTATCAAAATCTATTTAACACATACATGTATCACTTACCGAATAATATCGACTACCTTGGGATGTTTCCTCCTGCGTTATAATTAGGGACGCACGGTTCCAGTCAGTGTGGTAAATCAGAGCGAAGCAGTACTGTGAAAACCTGTCGAAAGGAACTGTTCTTTATCTTTCAGGATGTAAGCGAACATATTCTCACATACATTGAATCAGTTTTAACATTATACACAACCTCTTCGTATTAAGGACACTGGTAACCAAGGGAATCGTCGACAGCAGATTGCGGCCACTACCCTATAGTTCTTGAAAGCTCGAAATATTTCAGCAATATGATGCTTGTACAAAATATGAACAATACTGCTCTCCAAAATGGTGCGTTTTTCGTTTTCATGAATTTTCTGAAACAATGTTTTTCTGACCTTGCACCTATGACTCACGACAAACATGCAAATGCATGGTCGATTTGAGGGTGTGGGTTAGACTTTACTCTTGAACCTCACCCACCCTCACCCTCACACCCACTTTACAGCCATGCTCATCCTCATCTACATACTTCTGCCCATCAACTTCACTATCACGAGACCAATCGCTATTCCATCCACAAATAGGCAACTCCGCAAAAAACATCTCTAACTCCCATCTATGAGTCCAACTGGAACAAACACTCAACTACAAAAGAATACTTTTACCGTTAATACAAATTTACTACGAACACCAACAACATTCGTCACTTGCTCGTGTCAGTTTTCTTTCTTTGTCTTTGCCAAATTTCCATGTATTGAACAGGTTAAACCCAATGAATTAGGGTTACTTTGGACACGTCTGACTCTAGCGAATGTATCTTTTGATATCTCTGTTTTTCGCCTTCAGTGCATTTAGCTGCGGTAATACATACGATTATTTATTCGTCGTTCTTTTATTACTCCTAAGATCAGTTGCAGTTGCATAAAAATTGGAACACCTAGCCATTTCAACTATCTTTTGACACCACTTTTAGCCATTCCCAACCCCCATCAGCTTCATATTCCATTATAAACAACTCCACAAGAACTGAATACCTGACCTGCATAAAATCCTCCACTAAGGAAACAGATCCGCCGATCATCGATTCAAGCCACCTACCTCCAGACACCCATCCCAAAAAAGAACCAATGAACGGTCACCCATGCTCATACATCAACCAATATACTCACCCAAGACCCACACCCACACCCTCATCAACCAATGTATTCACCCTCAATCCCAGCCACGTTCAAACGTCCACCCGTAGTTCCACCCAAGCCCCCCCCGCCTTCACCCTTCATTCGCGCTCGTTCTACGACCAGCATACTAGAAGTTTCCAATGTGTCGAATGATTGTAGGGAAAAAAATGTTTTTTTGACCTTTGACCCTGACACAAACAAACAGATAGACAGACAAACTATTTTATTTCATATGACCTTCTCAGCAGTCGAGGGAATAAAATAATGCACACAATATATATATATATACGACGATGTTTGATTCAAGTTTGCAACGATGATCAATCGAACATCATATTAATTTTTTTGTAAAGAAAAGAATATTGTTAAGAGAAAAGAAACATCAATATATTTTTCTCTTTTAACGAACATAGAATATTGTATTTGTTTACCTAATTAACACATCTAAGGATTCAATGGCATTCTCTCATGTTCTTCATTCAATATATTTTATTCTTCGAAAAAAGTCGAATAAATGGGCAAACCTAAATTCATACGAGTATCTATTCGTAAAGGAGCAACTACAATTCAACGAACAAACCAAGTAATTGTAAAGAACAAAATTGTTGAAATTATCTTTCAATCTTTATGATAGATAACACCAAAGAATAATGAACAAGAGTATCGAAAGAAAAAAGTCCAAAGAATATCGAATAATGATCGATCTTCTAAAACTTTCTCGTTGATGATTGATACTTTTCATTCATCATCTACAAACATATTCAAAACTCATGAAAAGAAGAAAATGAATGACTCGCATTTGGCTACTTTAGAAGATATCTTTCGATTTCAGTGAGTACAAACATTTTCGCATTCTAACATTTATTATTTTTGTTTATAGCAAACGTAAAACGAATAATAATGATAATAATCGACGAAGAAGACGTTTGAACGCTTGGTGGATTTTTGGTATATTATTTGTTATCAGTCTTCTTTTGATAGCTATAGCAGTTGGCACATTTTTCCTCATTACTTTAATTGAAAAATCCACAACCAGTACAGGTGATTATTACTTTATTATTATCGTAAAATTTCATATAAACAATTGACAGATAAGTTTTACATATTCGGGATGAAAAAAATATATAAACAAATCTTTCAAATGGATATCTGAAGATAAGAAAAATAACGAGAAAAAAATTGATATCACATATATCTATTTTAAAAAGTTTCATAAAATCGAATTCTTTATATTTACATTAATCAAATGTTTTTTTGATGAATAAGTTGTATGTCAAGAGGGAGTTTTAATTAAAAAAATAGAAGGTTTCTCTTTTATAAAAAAAGAAAAAAAAATTTGTAGTTCTAGAACAATAATACAGATGAAAATGCATTTTTGTGTACGCAAAAAGTGAGTACACTCTAGAATCGGTCAGTGTGTCCGGTCGTTTACACGATAACTCTTCACAATTACATTCGATTGTGTTCAAATTTTGTGCACAGAATTCTCTCATTGATATCTCGGTCGAGAGAAGAAGATGAGAAGGATTAGTTAAGAAATGGCTGAGTTATTGAAAAAATTGTCATTATTGACAAGACCATCCCTGAGGGAGTGTAAAGGAATTTTTTCAAAAAAATTATTTTCCTCACAATTATTTAAAATAGATATCAATCGACTCAGTTTTTAAAGCTGATTCCGAATATGATATTAGTTTTCGAAACAAATCTTACTTTTTTAACTAAACATTCTCTGAATAACGACCCAAAATACACAAAAACTGTATCCCGAGACCAGTATGCCTTGATATCTTGAGGGGCGGTGAGGGTGTGGGTGAGGTTTAAGAGTAAAGTATAACCCACACCCACCCCGAAGTCGTTTACTCACCTCGGCTCTGATAGAAAAACTGAACATTTTCGATAACTATCTTCAAGGATGGGTATGCTAGGTACCTTCTTTACTCTCACTCACCCGCCCTTATTCGAAAAATACATATGAAGATGCAGACCTAATCTTGCTGAAAAATAGTTGTCCTATTCTTGCGGATTCTGAACTTTGATACATTCGAATTGATTGTTGGAGCAACATTGATTCAAGATAATTTATATAGACGCTATATGCATTCGAGAATCAACAATTCTGAGCACACTTTCTGAGTCATGTGAATTTTAATAGATATTAAAAAAAAACGGGACCCGAAGAAGCGATTTTGCAGCTGTATACTACAAATATCGATAAAGAAAGAACTCTACTAGTTGCGCTATCGTTTAGACAATCGAAGGTGAGTACTTTAGTTTATGCCCGAAACACAGCATTTGTGAATAAATATCGTGATGGCACAATCATTCGGCAAGTCTTTTGTGTTACTCAGATAGACACAAATTTTTATAAGATTACAAAGTTTGAATTGTTCGTCTTGTACATTTCTCTAACTACCAAACAGGAAATTTGACTCTTTAATCAACAAATAAATTAGACAACAGAATACAAATATTTGTTTAGCTGTGACAACAACAACAACTGTAACATTAACAACAACAACAACTGCAACTTCATCGACCACAACAAGAGCACCAAGTAATATATTGGTTTCTTTTATTAGTGCTAATTTATCTTTTTAAATAAAAGAACGATTCTTTTAGAAAATATTTACTGCTGACTTAGAAAAGTGAGTTGTAAGAATGAGAATGTTTTGAATTTTGGAAAAGTAGTTAATATCAGTTCTACAATAAACATTGATCATTTAGTAAAATGATTTGTATAGTTTTATTTCTCTGATTGTCAATATTTNACACCTATATCTGCATCTTTCATCCCTCCCGCTAATAAACAAAAAATTTAATTTAAATTTTTTCAAAAATTCATTCTTTTACCTGAACTAATTCCGAGAGCAATCCAACCAGTTGTGTTAACATGAAATTCAAATGTTATTTCTCGTTCATCTTTATCAATACTCCACCAAAGATCAGCAACATTACTTTTCAGTTCTGTTGAATATGTATAAGTTGCGAATGGTTGAATCGGACTCGAAATTGATAAACATTTTTCGACGATCAAAAAAGATAAGATGATTCTTCGCCACATCGATTCAAACTTATCTAGAATAAAAGTATTGTGACCTATTTTTATATAAAAAAATGAGTAATCGTTTTTCGTCAATCAATATTTGAATAACATCATAGCAAATTTACAAAAGCTTATTATTCATATCATGGTGCGAAATCAAGTCCTCTTCTTTAAGATTAAAGAATAAAACCAACTCATATAATCTTTCAAAATAAATCTTTATTTTGGATGTGAGAAATAAAATTATATTAAACCTAAGAAAGTAAAGCACATTTGTGCAGTGAAAGAGAGAGAGAAAAATAAGGTATACGATTTATCTTGAAATTTTTATAATAATACTATGAGGAGATTTCTATGTGTAAAATTTTCAAATTTCATCGATAAATAACTAAAGCACATCAAAAACCAATCCTTGGCATCACGTATTCGATAGGTACCAGAGTTGTATTGAATATTTAATTCAGCCAAGGAACTCGTGTGAAAATTGATTGAACGCCTATTGAGAAGTATTAGAGATCAAGAGGATTATTTCGTGTGGTTCGGAACCTTTTACTTTATTTCAAAATCAAAAAGCTACACGCATGGAAAAACACTCCTCTCATCGCTCGCTCGCTCTCTCTCTCTCCTCACTTTCACGTACGTATTTATGTGCCAGGCGCACAAAGAAAAAGTGAATAGATATCACTAATAAAAAAGATCTACGGGGAGAAGGAACAACAATTGATCTAGATAGAAAGAAGAGAGAGAGATGCTGCCTATAACAAAAAGATTACAGCAAAGGTCACTACGAAAAATGATCGACTAATAATTTTCTCGTCTATTAAGCAAGTGCTGGTTGACGGCACTTTTGAAGTTCGTAAACGTTTTATACTGTTAGTGTCATATCAATAAATATTGTACGTCATCCGTCAATTTTCTACTAATTGTATGCAATGCAGTTATTTTTGCCTTATTACCGAACAAAATCAAATCTATCTATGGCCATCTTATTGACAAGCTGTGCGAATTATGTCCATCGTGGAATCTAAAACATTTAACAATCGACTTCGAGAAGGCTTCTATGAATGTCGTTGTTGATAAGTTTATAATAACCACGAATACCTCTACAATGTCAGACCATTTTTCCATTTTCAGAAGAGTATATAGCGTAATTATCAGATGGGTATGTAACTAGAAACATTTATAGGAAATGTTGAAGATTCTTCTTTGTTGTAGGAGTTGGGACTTGCAACAAATTACGACCAAGATCTGGAATTGACTCGCTGCGTGAATAAATAAGCCGCACTTGCTTCCATTCATGCCAATGATATCGGTGAAGCTTTTGAAAGTCTTTATAATTCTCTACCGACTTACATTGGACGATTACGTGCACCCACGCCCCAATGAGAACGAATAAATCACGTTCGTCGAGACTGGCTTGCATTACCCTCGACTGAAAAGATCAATATGTAATGAATTTACTATTGGCCTTTCTTTCTTTCACGTAAGAGAAAATGTTTTCCAATATGAACTTCACTTACTTATTTTTCATTAAAATAAAGATAGTGATGATATAATGAAAAACGTACTGGAAGCAGCCAGTTGTTCCTATAGCGTCATCACCATATCTTGCCCTTAGAGATTGCTACCAAAATCTACTTAATACATACGTGTATCACTTACCGAATAATATCGACTACCTTGGGATGTTTTCTCCCGCGTTATAATTAGGGACGCACGGTTCCAGTCAGTGTGGTAAATCAGAGCGAAGCAGTATTTTGAAAGCTTGTCGAAAGGAACTGTTCTTTGTCTTTCAGGATGTAAGCAAACGTACTCCCACATACATTGAATCAGTTTTATCATTATACACAACCTCTTCGTGCTAACGACACTGGTAACCAAGGAAATCGTCGACAGCAGATTGCGGTTACTACCCTATGGTTCTTGAAAGCTCGAAACATTTCAGCAATATGATGCTTGTACAAAATATGAGCAATACTGCTCTCCAAAATGTTGCGTTTTTCGTTTTCATGAATTTTCTGAAACAATGTTTTTCTGACCTTGCATCTATGACTCACGACAAACATGCAAATGCATGGTCGATTTGAGGGTGTGGGTTAGACTTTACTCTTGAATCTCACCACCCCACACCCACACACTTACGTTTTTTCATATGACTCCCTCCCCCCTCTTTGGTCGGAGGAATAACAATTCAATTTTGTTCTTTAAGAAGTCTGTGCAATCCGTATCTGAATCGAAAACGATTACGATAGTTGTTCACACTCATCCACAAATATAATCAGTTTTGCGATGTATCTATGGTTATACTGCTATTTACACTTCAATAAAAAATTCATTTTCAATCTATATTAGACATTTGTTTATCTAAAGTAATGCACAGAAAATAAATTGAGTTCGTATATTAGACTGAAGGTTTTGTTTTGTTATTGATCTTTTTGAAATAATTCTACGATTTTTCATACTTCTTCTCAGAAAAATATTTAAATATACATTTTATAATTTTGATCTTTCGTTTGAAATCATCTGAATTTGTTTTTAAAAATAAAATAATGCACACAATATATGTACGACGATGTTTGATTCAAGTTTGCAACGATGATCAATCGAACATCATATTAATTTTTTTGTAAAGAAAAGAATATTGTTAAGAGAAAAGAAACATCAATATATTTTCCTCTTTTAACGAACATAGAATATTGTATTTGTTTACCTAATTAACACATCTAAGGATTCAAGCGCACTCTCTCATTTTNTGTGTACAGAATTCTCTCACTGATATCTCGGTCGAGAGAAGAAGATGAGAAGGATTAATTAAGAAATGGCTGAGTTATTGCAAAAATTGTGATTATTGACAAGACCATCCCTTAGGGAGTGTATAGGAATTTTTTCAAAAAAAATTATTTTCCTCATAATTATTTAAAACAGATCTTACTTTTTTAACTAAACATTGTCTAAATAACGACCCAAAATACACAAAAACTGTATCCCTCGCCCAGTATGCCTTGATATCTTGTGGGGCGGTGTGGGGGAGGTTTAAGAGTAAAGTATAACCCACGCCCACCCCAAAGTCGTTTACTCACCTCGGCTCTGATAGAAAACTGAATATTTTCGATAACTATCTTCAAGGATGGGTATGCTAGGTATCTTCTTTACTCTCACTCACCCACCCATCCTCATTCGCCCTTATTCGAAAAATAAATATGAAGATGCAGACCTAATCTTGCGGATTCTGAACTTTGATACATTCGAATTGATTGTTGGAGCAACATTGATTCAAGATGATTTATATAGACGCTATATGCATTCAAGAATCAACAATTCTGAGCACACTTTCTGAGTCATGTGAATTTTAATAGATATAAAAAAACACCGGGGCCCGAAGAAGCGATTTTACAGCTGTACACTACAGATATCGATAAAGAAAAAACTCTACTAGTTGCGCTGTCATTTAGGCAATTGAGGGTGAGTACTTTAGTTTATGCCCGAAACACAACATTTGTCAATAAATATCGTGATGACACAATCATTCAGCAAGTTTTTTGTGTTACTCAGATAGAAACACATTTTTGTAAGATTTCAAAGTTTGAATTGTTTGTCTTGTACATTTCTCTAACTACCAAACAGGAAATTTGACTCTTTAGTCAACAAATAAATTAGACAACAATATACAAATATTTGTTTAGCTGTGGCAACAGCAACAACTGCAACTTCATCGACCACAACAAGAGCACCAAGTAATATATTGGTTTCTTTTATTAGTGCTAATTTATCTTTTTAAATAAAAGAACGATTCATTTAGAAAATATTTACTGCTGACTTAGAAAAGTGAGTTGTAAGAATGAGAATGTTTTGAATTTTGGAAAAGTAGTTAATATCAGTTCTACAATAAACATTGATCATTTAGTAAAATGATTTGTATAGTTTTATTTCTCTGATTGTCAATATTTTACTTTTTGATAATGTCTTAGTATAAATATAAGAAAATATTTGTTTTTTATAGTGTGGTTGAGTACTGNAGTTCAGAATTGTATAATACATCAACAGGTATTTGGACAATCACTGGTAGTATGATTCACAATCGAAGATTTCATAAATCATCTGTATTAACAAATGGAAAAGTATTAGTTACTGGTGGAGAGAATAGTGTTGGTTCTTTGAATAGTGCGGAATTATATAATCCATCTACAGGAACATGGACACTTATTGATAATATGAATAATAGTCGATATCATCACACATCATCTTTATTGACAAATGGAAAAATATTAATTGCTGGCGGACAGCAAATTAGTGCTTTGAAGAGTGCGGAATTATATCAATCATAATCTCGTTCCAACAACTATGATTATATTCTAATCGCTTTGTTATACTAACTATCCAGATTTTGATTAACTTTTTGAGTCTTTCTCATTTTTTTAATAAATTCATCTTATAATAATATAAATCTTTATTTTTCATATCTTTCATATTTGAAGTATTATTGAACATATCATCTTTACCAAATGAACAATCATTTTTGAAGATAAGACTTATTTTCAAAACTTTAGTCAAGATCTATTCTTGATTCTGTTTTCATGTGAAAATAATCATTTTTTGTTCATACGATGAATTTTTCTAAGAGGTTTACTTTGAATATATTAATACATTATCACATCGAATATCTTATTCGAAAAAAATCAAAATCTATTTGTTAATCAGTCTTATTCATATGTATTCCGAAACTCTGTCATGAATGTAAAAATATATTGTTTTATAAATCAACTATTGTCTTATTCGTTAACATTACATATGATGAATACTTTCTCTTCTGTTTCATTTCAAATACAATACATAATAAGTTTGATCGGAGGTCGTAAAATAAGCTGTAAGATAGATATCAAACCTGTTGTTATTCGAAATAATGATAAAAATAATATACAGACCGATGTCAAAGACGTAAGGTAGGAATCAGTCGGATCTGATCAATTCCGACTTGAAGGGTGGGTGTCGGTGTCGGTTACGCTATACTCTTAACCCACACCCTTACTTATTTTTCCACTGGAATAAAGATACAGGGATGACATAATGAAAAACGTACTGGAAGCGGCCAGTTGTTCCTGTTGCGTCATCACCACATCTTGCCCTTAAATCTAGGACTCGCTCATGCAAATTGCACCTCTAGATTGCTATCTAAATCTATTTAATACATACGTGTATCACTTACCGAATAATATCGACTACCTTGGGATGTTTTCTCCCGCGTTATGATTAGGGACGCACGGTTCCAGTCAGTGTGGTAAATCAGAGTGAAGCAGTATTGTGAAAACCTGTCAAAAGGAACTGTTCTTTGTCTTTCAGGATGTAAGCAAACGTATTCCCACATACATTGAATCAGTTTTATCATTATACACAACGTCTTCGTGCTAACGACACTGGTAACCAAGGAAATCGTCGACAGCAGATTGCGGTTACTACCCTATGGTTCTTGAAAACTCGAAATATTTCAGCAATATGATGCTTGTACAAAATGATGCGTTTTTCGTTTTTATGAATTTTCTGAAACAATGTTTTTTTTGACCTTGTACCTATGATCCACGACAAACACACAAATGCATGTTCGATTTTTAGCTATTTTTTTCGAACGCGACCCTCCTTACAGTCGAAGCAATCATACTGGTGAATCTTGACACCGGCGCTTAAGCTTAATCGTTCAATATCAACATCCTACTGCATGGTCTGTCATCAATAGTATAGTCCTAGCTGCAGAAAGATCATGTAATCCGAAAAGTACTTTTCGTTTCGTCTCCAAGCTTTCGTTCATCGTTGCCACTGTTTATTCGTTCAGACAATAGCTAAAAACATATGTTACACTCACTTACATTCGAACTCACAGATAATCTCATCTCACTTCTATTGGTGAAAATTTCGATATTAATTAAAATATTTCATTGCATTTCTAAGTTGCCTATGGTTGGGATACAAAATGACCCCGGTGAATAGTACTAGGATTAACAACATGCTGGAATGCTAAGAATAAATGCAATACAATGCGAATGAAAGAAAATCGCATATTTCACGAAGTCTAGAATTTCTCCTTCAAATGGATATGTAACTAAGGATGAATTTTGTCTGATTTTAAGTTATCAAATTTCATCTAATTGTATTAGCTAACTTTAATAAAAAGTCATGGTTGATTAACTATGTCATTGTTGATATATAAATACATTCCTGAAAGTAAGTACGACTGACAGAATGTACATCTTTTGTGCAAATGATGTAATATATAAAAGAGAGTTTCATAAATTTACCTATAGACTAAGATTATGTTCGTAATTCATTAGAGAAAAAACTTACTGCGCATTTATAAATTATCTTGGTCACATGAGCAGGAGGTGTGATGAAAGGTGTGGTTTGTCATGTTCTCATTAATATTTGCGACATGTCTAGCAGAAAAATTTTCTTCTAGCGTTTCTTTCCTTTAATCTCAATATATATATATCGATTTTTCTTCCAGAAAAAGTAGAAGTTATTTTAAAGTACTCGCGTCAAGAATAATTGGAAAGTAGAAAAATTAATCCCAAAATCTTATTGAATTAAACATATGACTAAGCTGTTGTGAATCTACTTATATACAGAGTTTTTCTTTCTATTATTTAAATATAGCGTGAGTAAAGCGTAGCCATGTTTGAATAGATTTTCTTTTTCTACGAGTATATACTATTAAAAATGGGATGCAAACAGAGTAATAACAGGAACTTTCAAATACATCATTATTTTCTCAAAGAATATGTTTTGACAGACATGCTAGCCTAAAAAAATATACTCTCACTATAATCTTTCACAGGAATATATTGACTTACAGTGTCTGACAATTATTTGTATTCTCTTTGCAACTTCTACTTGAAACTATTTAGAGTAAAGATGACACAACGATCCATTCAAGGCGTTCAAGATGTGCGTATACGAACATTAACAATGCATTCGATTATTGCTCCTGAAAACTTTCAATTTATAAATAATCACCAAGTAAGATTCAACGCACTAAAAGAATATATATGAATAGTGTGTGTATTATTCTTATGATGATTGTATAATTATTTCAATCTATGTTTTATAACAATAGAAATGGACGTCCTCATTAATCTGGACTGTTTTAGTTGTAACACTTTCGACTAGTTTTGTTATGGGTGTGAATAATGGCGGTCCAAATCAATATAATTCCGTAAATGTGTCAATTCTTTGCTTGTCATTTGAATAAAACAATTTTATTTGAAGTTCATCGTTCCCTGGGCAAGAGGATATCCGTTTCCATGTCAAAAAGCTGATGACGCAGCACGATGGGTGGCAACTGTTTGGTGGAATTGTAATTATACTGCGATCTCACTTTTCAATAAGACGGGTTATTATTATTTACCAGCAATACCAGCCGATAAACAGGTTTTACAAAGCATTATCGATGCAGCTCATTCGATATGTTTTGTTATTGGTGGTACAATTGGAGGCTTAACTGGACAATATTGGTATTTGCTTTTCACAAAGTTAATGCTCTAAGATATGTATTTCTTGCTTTTCTAATTTTTATATTACTTGTTTGTTTGGTAGACGGAATGCAATATGTGTATCGGTGTGAAGCTAGCACCATTTAGCTAGCACCATTAAACTAAGGATTTTCTGAAAACGAATTCCGGTCGATGAAACCGAGTGTATTCGATGCAGAATTTAATTCTGAGTCCAANAGTTCAGAATTGTATAATACATCAACAGGTATTTGGACAATCACTGGTAGTATGATTCACAATCGAAGATTTCATAAATCATCTGTATTAACAAATGGAAAAGTATTAGTTACTGGTGGAGTGAATAGTGTTGGTCCTTTGAATAGTGCGGAATTATATGATCCATCTACAGGAATATGGACACTTATTGATAATATGAATAATAGTCGATATCATCACACATCATCTTTATTGACAAATGGAAAAATATTAATTGCTGGTGGACAGCAAACTAGTGCTTTGAAGAGTGCGGAATTATATCAATCATAATCTCGCTCCAACAACTTTGATTATATTCTAATCACTTTGTTATACTAACTATCCAGATTTTGATTAACTTTTTGAGTCTTTCTCATTTTTTTATAAATTCATCTTATAATAATAATATAAATCTTTATTTTTCATATCTTTCATATTTGAAGTATTACTGAACATATCATCTTTACCAAATGAACAATCGTTTTTGAAGACAAGACTCATTTTCAAAGCTTTACTCAAGATCTATTCTTGACTCTGTTTTCCTGTGAAAATAATCATTTTTTGTTCATACGATGAATTTTTCTAAGAGGTTTACTTTGAATATACTAATAAATTATCACATCGAATATCTTATTTGAAAAAAAATCAAAATCTATTCGTTAATCAGTCTTATTCGTTTGTATTTCAAAACTCTGTCATGAATGTAAAAATATGTTGTTTTATAAATCAGCTACTGTCTTATTTGTTAACATTACATATGATGAATACTTTCTCTTCTGTTTCATTTCAAATACAATACATAATAAGTTTGACCGGAGATCGTAAAATAAGCTGTAAGATAGAAATCAAACCTGTTGTTATTCGAAATAATGATAAAATAATATGCAGACCGATGTCAAAGACGTAAGGTAGGAATTAGTCGGATCTGATCAATTCCGACTTGAGGGGTGGGTGTCGGTGTCGGTTACGCTATACTCTTAACCCACACCCTTACTTATTTTTCCACTGGAATAAAGATACAGTGATGACATAATGAAAAACGTACTGGAAGCGGCCAGTTGTTCCTGTTGCGTCATCACCACATCTTGCCCTTAAATATTGGACTCATGCAAATTACACCTCTAGATTGCTATCAAAATCTATTTAATACATACGTGTATCACTTACCGAATAATATCGACTACCTTAGGATGTTTCCTCCCGCGTTATAATTAGGGACGCATGGTTCCAGTCAGTGTGGTAAATCAGAGCGAAGCAGTATTGTAAAAACTTGTCGAAAGGAACTGTTCTTTATCTTTCAGGGTGTAAACGAACATAGTCTCACATACATTGAATCAGTTTTATCATTATACACAACCTCTTCGTATTAAGGACACTGGTAACCAAGGAAATCGTCGACAGCAGATTGCGGCCACTACCCTATAGTTCTTGAAAACTCGAAATATTTCAGCAATATGATGCTTGTACAAAATATGAGGAATACTGCTCTCCAAAACGGTGCGTTTTTCGTTTTCATGAACTTTCTGAAACAATGTTTTCTGACCTTGCACCTATGGCTCACGACAAACATGCAAATGGATGGTCGACTTTTAGCTACTTTTTTCGAACGCGACTTTTCTTACAGTCGAAGGAATTGTGCTAGTGAATCTTGGCACCGGCGCTTAAGCTTAATCATTCAATATCAACATTCTACTGTATGTACTGTCATCAATAGTATGACTCTAGCTACAGAAAGCTCATGTAATTCGAAAAGTTCTTCTCGTTTCTTCTCCAGACTTCCGTTCGCTGTTGTCACTGTTTATTTCCTCAGACGATAGCTCAAACATACACGACACTCACTTACACTCGAACGCACAGATAATCTCATCTAACCTCGATTGGTGAAAAGTTTGATATTTTCTCGATTGAAAGGAGGGTCATATGAAAAAAAAGTTTGTCTGTTTGTGTCAGAGTCAAAGGTCAAAAAAACATTTTTTTGAACATACTCACAACTTCATGAAACATCGTTTGGGAGGGGTTCTGAGGCTCGAAGTTGGCTGGATGACGGGTGAAGGGGCAGGGATGTGATAGAAATGAAGAAAACATTTCAACCGCGCCTAAGAGGAGGGCTACATAGAAGAGTTGATTACGAAAAAGTAAAAACACAATCGGTTGACTGTCGCGTACTAAAGGCCAGTGATCCAAAAATATATTCCTTGACAAGTTACATACTGGAGAGCAATCTTAAATGCTAAGCTTCGATATATTGAAAGTGCAAATTCATAATAGTCATTTATAGCGAACTTCTGCTTCCTGTGAAGAGTGATTGTCAGTCAGGAATATAGAATAATTAAAAGCAGCACAAGTAGTCCTTTGACTCTTTTGAAGACTGTGAGGAGAATGAAGATCAGTCTTTTGGGACCCTTTCAAAGGTTATACTTCTGTCTTTTTTTGCATAAAACGCACATAAGACTATTTTATTTTCAGTCAGCGGTTCCGTCGAGGGCATAGCGAGTCTGCCTCGACGAGCGTTACTAGTATATAAAAGAGAGTTTTATAAATTCAGCTATAAATTAAGGTTATGTTTGTAGTTCATTAAAGAAAAAGCATAGTGCGCATTTATAAATTATCTCGGTCACATGAGCAAGGAATGGGATGAAAGGTGCGGTTCGTCATGCTCTCATTAATATTCTCTACATGTCGAGCAGAAAAAAATTTTCTTCTCGCGTTTCTTTCCTCTAATCTCAATATATTGATTTTGCTTCAAGGAAAAGTAGGAGCTATTTTAAAGTACTCGCGTCAGAAATGGTTGGAGAGTAAAATAATTAATCTCAAAATCTTTTTGAATTAAGGATATGCATAAACTGTTGTAAATCTACTTATATACGGATTTTTCTTCTTTTATTTAAATATAGCCTGGATAGAGCATAGCCATGTTTGAATAGATTTCCTTTTCTACGAGTATATACTATTAAAAATAAGATGCAAAAAGAGAGTAATAACAGGAACTTTCAAGTACATCATTAGTTTCTCAAAGAATATGTTTTGACAAACACGCTAGCGTCAGAAAATATACTCTCATTATAGTCTTTCACAGGAATATATTGACTTAAAGCGCCTGAAAATTATTTGTATTCTCTTTGCAACTTCTACTTGAAACTGATTAGAGAAAAGATGGCACAACGATCCATTCAGGGTATTCAAGATGTGCGTATACGAACATTAACAATGCATTCGGTTATTGCTCCCGAAAACTTTCAATTTATAAATAATCACCAAGTAAGATTCAACGCATTAAAAAAAGTTATAAATAGTGTGTGTGTTATTCTTATGATTATTGTACAATTATTTCAATTTATATGTTTTATACCAATAGAAATGGACATCATCATTAATCTGGACTGTTTTAGTTGTAACACTTTCGACTAGTTTTGTTATGGGTGTGAATAATGGTGGTCCAAATCAATATAATTCCGTAAATGTGCCAATTTTTTGCTTGACATTTGAATAAAACAATTTTATTTGAAGTTCATCGTTCCCTGGGCAAGAGGATATCCGTTTCCATGTCAAAAAGCTGACGACGCAGCACGATGGGTGGCAACTGTTTGGTGGGATTGTAATTATACTGCGATCTCACTTTTCAATAAGACGGGTTATTATTATTTACCAGCAATACCAGCCGATAAACAGGTCTTACAAAGCATTATCGATGCAGCTCATTCGATATGTTTTGTTATTGGTGGTACAATTGGAGGCTTAACTGGACAATATTGGTATTTGCTTTTCACAAGGTTAATGCTCTATGATATGTGTTTCTTGCTTTTCTAATTTTTATATTACTTGTTTGTTTGGTAGACGGAATGCAATATGTGTTGGTATGGTTCTTGCAGTAATAGGGTCACTTCTGATGATAATTCCATTGGAAATTTATAATGGATATACAAAAGGTGATCCCAGCCGAATACAGATTCTTGATGCACTTGAAAATAAAGATATTGCTGTCGCACTTCTTTATCTTGCACGTTTCTTCTCTGGATGGTCCGCTGGTAAGCAACTGAGTAAAATAGCAAAATCGATAGTATACATTTTATTTGTTAAAGGTATGTGTTGTGTTGTGTCAACTATTTATTTAATGGATATAAGTCCACGTACTATGCGTGGTAAAGTCGTTTCATTCCACCAGTTATTCGTTGTCATTGGACTGCTCGTGGGGCAAATAGTTGGCCTTCCATGGTTACTTGGTCAACACAAGTAAATTGATTTATTTTTCTTCTAGAGTTTAAAATAAATAATACTTTTATTTCTTCATTTGAACTATAGTACATGGAATTGGGGTATGTCATGGATAGGATTATTCCCATTAGCAGGTTGTTTTCTGGTGTGGTCATTACCGGAAAGTCCAAGATGGCTTGTGCAAGAACATCAACGAAATGAAGCAGCCGCATCATTACGTACTCTTCGACAAACTACTTCAATACAGGCAGAGCTTGATGAGATCGAACGACAAGAAGCAACTGTCGCAATACAAGACGTATCGATTTATGAAGTCTTTACCTCAAATCGTTATCGCTGGCCATTGTTGACCAGTATAGCATTAAATGCTATTCAACAATTATCTGGTATTAATTCTGTAAGTATTTAAAACAGATCTCAGACTAATGAATATTTTAAATTTTAGGTGTTTTTTTATTCCAATAAGACATTTTCGAGTATTGGCTTTGCCGGAGATAAAATCTACTGGGGTGTACTTTCAACTGGTATTATCAATCTGATTATGACGGCAGCATCACTCAGATTTGTGGAAACATTTGGTCGTCGGCCGCTGATTTTATATCCTCTTATCATAATTACAATAACTATGATTCTACTTTGTATTTCTATTCAAATTCATATTCGTAAGTATCCAGTATTGATCACAGTAGAAGTCTATCATAGCACGATATATTTTAGCAATACTATCTTTGGTACTAACATTGATTTTCATTGCTGTATCTGCGGTTGGACTTGGACCTATTCCTTATATATATCCAAATGAAGTATTTACAATAAATATGCGACCAGCGGCTCTATCAATTTCAATGTTTGCTAGCTGGTTATGTAATACACGTAAGTAGTCGTTATGAGTTAAAATAATAATTAATGTTGATCATGCATATTCTGTCTACTTAATGCAGTCATCAATATATTATTTCCATTGTTAATATCAGTACTGGGTGGATATGTTTTTCTTATTTTCTGCTTCTTTTGCATAGTAGCTTTTGCTATTTTATGGTGTAAGGTAAGTGCATTATTTGTTTACGTGTAGATAAAAAAAAACAACACAAATTCTACTTGATATTTTTAATTCTAGATGGCAGAGACAAAACATAAAAAACTGTCCGAAATCGAAGCTTTCTGGACTTGAGCTGTTTGAAAAATAATCATACAACTGCCACAAGTCATCATCTATGCGTATATATATGTAATCATATTTTTGAAAAGATTTTATACCTCAGTATATTCTATAAAAATGAAAGTGAATATGTGTAGACCAACTTTGATTCGATTATACTACTGTAGAATATCGCCATGAACGATAACCTCATTAAAGGATAAGGGTAGAGGATGGAAGGTAATTATATGAACTGTGTGATTTCCAGGAGGTTGGTATCATTGAATCTTGTAAGGTACAGATGTCGATTGTATTTATGCATTATGTATGTCATGTTCTGAATGAATGCGTTTTTGGGTGAGACAAAAATTTGAGCTGTGTACAACCCCCTAATGAAACGATTAAAAGAATGACAAAGAGAACATAAAACATATACGTATATTATAGCGTTTATGTCGATGGTTGGGGTTGATTGCATAGTTTATTTGATAAGTATGTTCGTAATTCATGATTATATGAGAATAAATCGATTATATTGATAGCAAACATATCGATGGTAGCATTGCAACAGCATGGAAGACAACATAGGTTATATCTCCTATGACAGCATCTACTACTCCTATTATGTAGATTGGCATCCAACCACAAAAGAATACAACAAAAATAACAATGATATGTTTCAATAGTTTTGCATCTCGTGGACGAAGAGCTGGACCAGGTCAATTATGATCATTTTTCATTGAATGAACTTGTCGAGTTGACCGATGAGCATTTAATACTATTAGTTACTCCTAAAAAAAATTAAAGGTAATACAATAGTTATGAATGCCGCATAAGTTTGTTGACTAAGTTCAGGACTATATATAAAACAATGCTAAAAGAAAAAAAATATGATTTCCATATTTCTATCAAATCATTTAATTTACTTCTGAATTTGATGCAAAATGTGGTAAAGGAATTATCATCGATATACTCCATTGTATACTAATATAGATAATAGCCCATTTGTTTTTGTCCCAAATAATACTTTACTTGGATAGATAATTTACTTGTTGTGCGCATTTCTCTAAATTTGTTGTTTTTTATCTTTATCCTCTAAGTTACAAAAGACTTTGGGCAGTGTTAGGATGATGCGAAAGAGAAAGAAATCAATGTGGAGTGAGAGGGAGACGGTCGGTCTCGGATCGTTTATTGAATACGAAAAGAAGTGTGAAAATGGAAAGAAAATGAGTAGACCAGACCAGCCATGAAGATAAATTCATGGCTATATATATATATATATAGCTAGAGAACAAAGAGACAGACGAGATGATATCCTAAGATCTCATCTTAGCAATGGTTAAAACACCTCGAGAAGAAGAGCCTGGAAATGTGAGGGTTTAACCTGCAACAAGTGTGTTAAAGTTTTTAGTTTCTATAGAAGAAAATACACCAGACTTTTTTTCTATTCAGCTCTATATATTTCATGGGGTTTAAGCAATTAGTTTTGTGATAAACTCGAAAAACTTTCCAAGATGTAAGTGTGAAGTTTTTTTAGTATATATATGTTTTATATATTTTTCTCCAAAAAAGTCTTAGTTTCTTGATCGTTGACATCGTTTATCTTAGCTTATAGCATTAGTAGAATAGAGCTTTGACTTCTGTGCATTGATTTAAATGTTTCCAATTAGCTTTACATTCTATCTTTTGGTTGTAAATGCACAGAAATGTTTGAAAAGCCAATTTTTCAAAAGTACATAAATCGGTGAAATCTTATCGAAAAGATGTGTTTTTCTCTTGAATGTTCAACCGGTTTCGCTTCATATGTTTTCTGTGAAGAGCTCTTATGTGTTTTTCTTCATTGAAAGCCGTTTTTACGAATGATAATCTCAACTGAAGTGAATTATGAACATGCAAAAACTCAACATTATGACGTCGTAGACACTACTAGATTTGAAAACATGTTGAAAAATAAAATAACAAACTATATTGTTTGATAGAGCAGATGACGCTCTATCAAACGATATGTGAATAAGAATTATCTGAGGTTTTCTCTAAGTACAGCAAACTGAGAAAAACGACCAAAATCAACGTGATCATGCTGTAGATGAGTCTTCAAAGGTCTTGTATGAAAATTACAACAGGCAACTTTCAGAGTGAATAGACACTCTTTGAATGTTTTAAAATTTAGATTGAAATTATGTGGTAATTTAATATAAAGAAAAGTCAGCGTTGTAGGCTAAAACCTATACTGAAATACTATGAATAGCTGAGTAATAACGAGTCAAAATAAGGGGATGTTATTAAGGTAAACTGCTGATGATTTCATTCTTGTGCATTTGTACCCAATCTATAAACGAAATCAAAGGTATTCCGTAGCTTTTTGCAGTATCTACATCAGCTGCCGAATAGCCAACCTCGTTCCACCAGACTTCACTCTCAATAAGGTACGGAGGTACGCCAGCGGATAGTGCGCCACCTTGCGCCACAACTTCTGATCGGACATTTTTGCCTGTGATGCTGTTTATTTGTTGAGCGATTTGAGGAAATGTTAACCACTCAGCAGCCAATTCGATTTCTAAACGATTGAACTTCATTGGGTTGGCGAAAGCAGCGGCTGCAAATTTTCCCACATCTTCCGCAGCAATTAACTGAATAGTAGTCGTTGAAAGTGCACTGATAGTGAGAATCACACCTCGTTCGGCATATTGTGGAAAAACCAAGTCACAATGGGGCTTTTTGAAATTATCNGATTATATGAGAATAAATCGATTATATTGATAGCAAACATATCGATGGTAGCATTGCAACAGCATGGAAGACAACATAGGTTATAACTCCTATGACAGCATCTACTACTCCTATTATGTAGATTGGCATCCAACCACAAAAGAATACAACAAAAATAACAATGATATGTTTCAATAGTTTTGCATCTTGTGGACGAAGACCTGGGCCAGGTCAATTATGATCATTTTTCATTGAATGAACTTGTCGAGTTGACCGATGAGCATTTAATACTATTAGTGATTCCTAAAAAAAATAAAAGGTAATACAATAGTTATGAATGCCGCATAAGTTTGTTGACTAAGTTCAGGACCATATATAAAACAATGCTAAAAGAAAAGAAAAATATGATTTCCATATTTCTATCAAATCATTTAATTTACTTCTGAATTTGGTGCAAAATGTGGTAAAGGAATTATCATCGATATACTCCATTGTATACTAATACAGATAATAGCCCATTTGTTTTTGTTCCAAATAATACTTTACTTGGATAGATAATTTACTTGTTGTTTTTTATCTTTATCCTCTAAGTTACAAAAGACTTTGGACAGTGTTAGGATGAAGCGGAAGAGAAAGAAATCAATGTGGAGTGAGAGGGAGACGGTCGGTCTCGGATCGTTTATTGAATATGAAAAGAAGTGTGAAAATGGAAAGAAAATGAGAAGACCAGACCAGCCATGAAGATAAATCCATGGCTATATATATATATAGCTAGAGAACAAAGAGACAGACGAGATGATATCCTAAGATCTAATCTTAGCAATGGTTAAAACACCTCGAGAAGAAGAGCCTGGAAATGTGAGGGTTTAACCCGTAATAAGTGTGTTAAAGTTTTTAGTTTCTATAGAAGAAAATACACCAGACTTTTTTTCTATCCAGCTCTGTATATTTCATGGGGTTTAAGCAATTAGTTTTGTGATAAACTCGAAAAACTTTCCAAGATGTAACTGTGAAGTCTTTTAGTATATATATGTTTTATATATTTTTCTCCAAAAAAGTCTTAGTTTCTTGATCGTTGACATTTTTCATCTTAGCTTATAGCATTAGTAGAATAGAGCTTTGACTTCTGCATTGAAAGTCGTTTTTACGAATGATAATCTCAACTGAAGTGAATTATGAACATGCAAAAACTCAACATTAGGACTTCGTAGACACTACTAGATTTGAAAACATGTTGAAAAATAAAATAGCAAACTATATTGTTTGATAGAGCAGATGACGCTCTATCAAACGATATGTGAATAAGAATTATCTGAGGTTTTCTCTAAGCACAGCAAACTGAGAAAAACGACCAAACTCAACGTGATCATGCTGTAGATGAGTCTTCAAAGGTCTTGTATCAAAATTTCAACAGGCGACTTTCAGAATGAATAGACACTCTTTGAATGTTTTAAAATTTACATTGAAATTGTGTGGCAATTTAATACAAAGAAAAGTCAGCGTTGTAGACTAAAACCTATACTGAAATACTATGAATAGCTGAGTAATGACGAGTCAAAATAAGGGGATGTTATTAAGGTAAACTGCTGATAATTTCATTCTTGTGCATTTGTACCCAATCTATAAACGAAATCAAAGGTATTCCATAGCTTTTTGCAGTATCTACATCAGCTGCCGAATAGCCAACCTCGTTCCACCAGACTTCACTCTCAATAAGGTACGGACGTACGCCAGCGGATAGTGCATCGCCCTGCGCCACAACTTCTGATCGGACATTTTTGCCTGTGACGCTGTTTATTTGTTGAGCGATTTGAGGAAATGTTAACCACTCAGCAGCCAACTCGATTTCTAAACCATTGAACTTCACTGGGTCGGCGAAAGCAGCGGCTGCAAATTTTCCCACATCTTCCGCAGCAATTAACTGAATAGTAGTCGTTGAAAGTGCACTGATAGTGAGAATCACACCTCGTTCGGCATATTGTGGAAAAACCAAGTCACAATGGGGCTTTTTGAAATTATCCATCAGTAAGGCTGGCCGAAGAATGGTATATGAGTCAAAATGAGCTTTCCGAACAGCTTCTTCCACCTCATGTTNGGCGAAAGCAGCGGCTGCAAATTTTCCCACATCTTCCGCAGCAATTAACTGAATAGTAGTCGTTGAAAGTGCACTGATAGTGAGAATCACACCTCGTTCGGCATATTGTGGAAAAACCAAGTCACAATGGGGCTTTTTGAAATTATCCATCAGTAAGGCTGGCCGAAGAATGGTATATGAGTCAAAATGAGCTTTCCGAACAGCTTCTTCCACCTCATGTTTAGATAGCCAATACCAGGCATAGGACCAATCAGCGCTCCATCGTGGGAACGACTGATGCTTGCCAGTCATTGAAACACTCGTGTGCACAAATACGCGTACACCGCATTCCTTGGCGGCTTTAACCAGATTTAAGCCCTGAATCACTTCTTCGGGGCCGGCTGCTTGGACAGAAAAGACACCAGTAGCACCAGCGAGTGCTAATTTCAAAGAATTAATATCGTTCAAGTCGCCCTTCACCACTTCCACTCGTGCCAACTGCGACGAACGAGAAACGGCAGCTTGAGCAACTGATGACGTCGGATCCCGAGTAACTACACGGATGACGATCGGCTGAGGAAAAGATGTGTTAAGAAGAGCTTGGACCGTAGCTCCACCTTGCGCACCCGTTCCACCAGTAATAACATAAATTTTCGGCAAGGACATCAGTCTAAGATCAGTATTGTATTCACCTTTTTAGATCTGAAACATACAGCAAATACAAGCACTAGTTTTCTCAATGATCGTGGTCCGCTGTTGTCAAGACTGAAAAATTATTCAGCAACTTGTCTTCGATCGCTGTCGTCGTTTTAAAAAACGTCAACCGTATGATGTTTACCGTGAATGCAACAGAAGAGAAGAAAAACGTGCGTCGCTTTTATATGTCGTGATTGACAGAGCGGACGAAAAGAACGCACCGTTCTGACGGTGAAGGTAAGTACGATAGTAACATACGTACGGTACACTAAAATAACCCAGTTTGTTGTACTTCAAGGTTGCTTTTGTGAAACACGATCTCAAAGAGAGTGTTGAAGTGCTCAGGGCAGAAATTTAGACCAACCCAACGCCATAGACCTTACAGACAGCTCAAAACTCAACCATGGATGTTACGTATAAACTGAATCACATGTTATACACTTTAACAATACCAAGACGGCATTCTTCGTTGTCACAGAACAATAAAAATAATCAGAATATTTCTTGTCTTGAATATCTAGAGAGATCATTAGCAATACACTTAAACAACTTTACAACTATAAATTAAACCAAAACTGCGTAAAAATTTGAATCAAAATGTGTGTGTGGGAGATTCCACCTTATATCTGACAGTTTATACACGACTCTCTTCAAACTGATGTTGAAGTTCAGATTCATGTAGAGCATAGTCGCGATAAAGATACAATCTTGGTTGAAGCTGGACATATTATTCTACTATTTGACCACCTGTATTACTCGTAAAACTAGAAGATTCTGAAAGAGGAAGCACTAGGTTAGTAAGATATTTTTCTTACTTTTTGCCTTTTGTATATAATTTTTGAATTTAGAAAATATCTTTTATGAGCATTAGATGTGCATATCCAATTTGTTATTGAAACAATCAATTGATTATGTGACAGTTTCCACATATTAAGCTTCTCTGTCTTATACCTTTGATGTATGATAAATACGATTTTCTCACGATTGTGGTGGTTTTAATAAACAGTTTTTGAGTTAAATTCGATAGAAGAAGTCAGATGACGAAGAAAAGGACAACGGCGATAATAAATTTCATTATGCTTAGTGAAAGGTCATCTCAAAGCCATACAAACGCATTTATAGAGACTTATGAACTTGTGCTCTTTCTTGAAAAGTTATGGAGTGTGAAGCAACATAGCTCCAGATAGTGTAAACAAAACTGAATAAAACTAGCGTACTTAGAGAACTTTAAGTGCAAAGATATATATGGAAAATAAGAGCTAAGAAAGGAAAGTTTCGAAAAGCACCAGTGTACATTTTATATGAAAAAACTATGAAAAGTTGAGCTTTGGAAGCAAGGATGCTGTGATATTTTGCGAAATCTAAATCGGCCAAAATGTTCGCCTCAATGAGCTCTACAAACGCTGAAACTTTCGTGTTGTTATGAAATACTTCATGTAACGGTGGTAGAAAACCCATGGAAACGCCCAATAGTATTGACTCTTTACTAAGTGCGCATACAATAGAAAGTGCTTTTTATAAGACGTTAAACAAAAATCTCGCAAAATACTTTGATCCATGAGAAGTCGGAGAATTTTTTCGTAATAGCATTGCGATTGCAATGGGTGCGCATGTTAAATCAGATGTTGATTGAGCATTATACTTTGTTAGCAGTATATGTCATTACATAAACACATCTAATTGCTCTAATAATCAAATGATTGGTCGCACGTATTGTGGCATGAAAATAACGAAGGAAGATCTCGCAAGGTATCGAATAAATTCGTTTATTATTCAGAAGATATTTACATCGACATATGGCCGCCGAGAGTTTCATGGCTAAAAATGAATTCGGCAAAGTGTCAGCATTGTGCATTTATGTCCTTGACAGTCCCATGACTAACTGCAGTATTGGTTTGTAAGATATCTTTGTTTATCTAGACGCAGCAGAACTGCTTATTCTTCCCATTGCTACGCTTGTGATAGCCAGAATCGATCAGAATACCAAGATTGATATCTATGAAATTGAACTGCCTTTTATAACTGGTAAACGTGCTGAAGATCTCAATGTAGCACTTGACGATTGGGATCCCGATGACCAAGCAGTGGTTGATATTTTGCATGTTCTCCTTGCAATGCGCTTTCGTTGAAGAGCATTCTTCGTCCTTCTAACATACTACTTTTCTTAAGTAATTACGTTGTCACGAAGAGAAACAATTGGCTCCTGGATCCTCTGGACTCTACACACCCTCACATTTTTTTTTCCAGACTCTGCCGATTAACTTTATCCATACTGTACAAAAAGGTCGCAGAATAATGAACCATTTTCGTGGGTTCGTTAACCTTATAAGTTATAGAAAGGGTATTTTATACGTTATACTTTCATATAGTCTTAGCCGGTTTATTAACTTCCTAAACCCTCGAAAACCGCTTTTCTTTCCTACGATTCTTCTAAAAGATACATTGACTAATCTCGTAAGGGTATATCAATGCTCATTTATTCTAGAGGATTCATACCGTGACCATCCATCCTTTTCCGAGGGCTCATAATTCGAAGCTTTTTTTACAGTGTACAATAATTGATCAAGCTATACAATCTTGTAGAGAAAAGGGTGAGCTATCTTTCTATGATCAAATGCATCAACATAAGATAATCATCTAGCCATTTTTATTCGTATCGAGCAAGCTTGCTTTATTTTGCATTTGTCTAAAAACAGTAGGTACACAAAATATTCTCAGGTCAATGAATCTGGTGGGCAGATCTCACCGGAATATACCCGTACTGGAACCATTCAGTATGCCACTTGGAAATACTCGGAAACGGGTCAGTGTGAGCCGTATCTCATAATTAGAAATCAAATGAAATGTTACTAATTTTTTATGGGATTGTGTGTAGATCGTGAAACTCGATGTACTGATGGGATTTCATCACCCAAAACCATAAAATTTGATATTTTTTCACTTTGGCTGAATTCAACAAAAATTATCTAGAGTAAATCTCAAATAAATCTAAAAATCATTATATCCAGTTTTCAGCTTTCAACTGCATTTAACATCCTTAAATACGCTTCCATTCATCAGATGAGAACTGAGACTATAGTGACATCCAACAGTATCCATGCAAAACCTTTCTGAAATCTACAGAAATGCTAGCGAAAACTGGCAAAAAGTCATTCGAATCTCTTTGACAACCAACTGCGTTACAGAACAATCAGTCCGAAGTCTTCGTGATGTCATAGTTGAAGCGGTTGAACCTCACGCTCTATCTGACATCTCGAAAAGCTCTGTCATGCCCACCAAGATTTGATACAATTTATATACCATCGGAATTTTACTTTTGTTGTATTTTAACAACACTATGATTTGCATCTGAACATCTTATTTGACTTATTTTGAATATATTTATTTGTATCACAAACTTGTCGAAAACATCTCAAAGACTTTATCTTAAAAGTATCGTGACGTCTTCCGGACTAACATTTAAAGGCTGAAGCTTGATGACGTATATGCTTTATTTCATCGAAGAGAGAGAGAGAGAAGACGATCCTACTTTATAGTTGCACATAGACTAAATATTTGGATACATCGGGCGGTAAAACGAACATCTGTTGACAAAGGTGACGAGGAACCCATGACAGAGAACCACAAAAGGACAAATACGTCAGTGAGCCTGACATGATCATCAGAGTTATCAGTATTCAAAGATCAGGTGAGACCATCTCATCGTTAAATAGCAAAAATAATTACGAATCAATAAAATCATTTTCTCGTGTTCGATGTTCTTCGCTTCAGTCATGTTTCTTTTATCACTAGCAAAACATTTTTTTTATCCTGCTTGACGTTATCTGATATTTGATGTAAATCAATAATTGAAGAGCTAAATCTCTCTTTCATGACAAAAATATGATTAGAAGGACAAATTTGACTTTTTAACGACTGTTTCATCCATGTATTTCTCCATTCGTGCTTTTCAAATAATAGAAAACCATGTTATTATTTTTCGTCGTCGTCAGCATCCTATGTCATTTTCAAATAATATATACACAGAAACCTTGCGGTAAGATTTAAAATTTTATGTCATGCACTCCACTAGTATTTTCTAGCAATGTTATCGACAAGTGGACCCTATTCACTTCGTGTAATGACGTACAATATTCGATATGATACAGTCAAAGATGGAAAAAATCAATGGTCTCTTCGAAAAAATAAATTAATTAATCTTATTCGTAATCGTGCACCTGACCTATTTGGTGTTCAAGAAGCTTTGCCTAATCAAATAATGGATTTACAAAATGCATTACCTGCTTATCGTTACTATGGCGTTGGCAAAATTGATGGTAAAATGAAAGGCGAATTTTCTGCCATATTCTATCGAATCGATCGATTTGATCTTCTCAATAGTGGAACGTTTTGGCTTTCGAAAACGCCAAGAATACCAGGTAGCAAAGCATGGGATGCAGCTGGAACGCGCACATGTACATGGGTTCAGTTACGTGATCGATATACATTTCAGATATTTTACCATTTCAACGCACATTTTGATAGTACGGGTAGAACTTCTCGACTAGAAAGTGCTCGTCTTATTTTAAGTCAAAC